TTCATACAATTCAGCCTTAGTTTTATCCACAATGAAGTTATAGGGGGTAGATAACGGCCCGAACTGCTTCGAGAGAAGGATGGTATGCCCGTGCCGCTGTTTTGCTCGACTTGGCGGGGGCACTGCCGTACATGCATAGGTACGTACGTGACCCAGATAATACTGAATTTCTTTTTATTTTTTTCTATTCTGTTATAAGTATTATATTAAAATTATACTTAAAAAAAACTACCTAATGTAGTTTGTTTTACTAATAAAATTATAAAAGCTTAATTTATTTCACTTGCGCGCCGCAGTTACGTTCTATGCTTACTGGCGGTAATTTTTTTTAATTACTAGAGATCTGCTTATAATCGGGCGTAAAAATTGTCAAGCGAATACAATCGCAAAAAATAAGAACGATTATTCTATTTTTGTATATGTGTACACAGATAATTACCGGGCACGGGTGCTTCAGTGATTATCTGTGTAAGATCGGATGCGACGGCGAACTGCTTCCACAGCGGTGGACAGGACCACGACTCCGCGTCCAATACGCTGGGGTATGTCCGGTGTGGGAACGATCCTGGTTAGCTGGGTCTGTCGGAACCTCTCCTTGCCAGCAGTCGTATGGGTAATGCTGAGCGGGACCGTAGCCATCTTTTGTGAGTCTGTAATGGTCCAGAAGGGCTGCTGAGTGGGATCGGAGGAAGACAGATTCCACTAGGAGACGACGCCTTCAAAGTGTTCATCACGGCCCTTCCCTTGAAGATGGTGTTCTACTACCCGGGGCCTCTGGGATTGCAGGCGTTTAGGGCAGTGCATCGAATGTCTAGTAATGAAAAAAAATCACCCCCGAAAAGGACGACGGCTCGGAAGTGGTTCCGAGACATCATGATAGCACTGGAAATGTGCTAGGGGCAGTAAGAACTGCCCCTGGGACGTGCAACCAATAAAGCAAAGTGAGAGAGCGGCTCCAGTTGCGTTCCGAACGGAGATCCCGGGAACCCATGTACACGCTGACGGAGACCACTGTGGGGTTGTATCTGGTTGGAGTCCGGCATAAACTTTCGGTCAATCACCCAGCCAAATGTATCTACGAGGATTTCTTCACGAAAAAAAGGTTAGGGTAGATTAGTCCCCCCCGCCACGACAAAGCGGGAACCCTATCGGGGATCTCTCTCCCCTATCTCTTGAGAAGGAGATGGTGGAGAAGTTGTTCTCTCCCGAGGAGGAGTCGCCATGGGGCGCTTGTCACTGGTATTTGTTATGAATGTCACCATGGGGTATTAGTCGGTGCGAGTCCGACACAACCTTAGCTGTTAGAGAATGCCATATAGCATTAAGCTCGCCTTTTGTACAAATATTTGGTGCAATAAAGAATAAATAAATAAATAAAACCTGTCCTAGCCTTCGCGAGGCGGGTATGCGTAGTCATTTCCCCATATTAAAAAAAAGGTTGACGTGTCAATGCCCAGAACCAGCTGCCCTAATCACAATGCAGTGATCAAAAAATTGTTTGAAAGTACAGTTGCCACCCGGTCCATTAGACATTTGTCGTGCGACGGTCCCGATCTGGCTAATAGCCAGTTTGGATTCCGACGGGAGCGTTCCACTATAGATGCCATTATGCGCGTCCGCTTCAGGTCCGCTCCAAAATACTCTCAGAAATGAGAGTAAAGTTAGGCTGTAACTTTACGTCACTTAGGCAGCAATCGATAAGTTTCCATGTAAAAAAGGTACGTCAAGGAAAACTAAAATTGTTCTACTGATATTAATGAATGAAAACGGATAAGATTGTTTATTTTTTTAATTTAACATGCCGTGTGAGCTTTAAGAGTCAAGTCACGTCGTCATTTGAGTCGAGATGAAATGTTACGAGCCGCGAGCATGCTAGAAAATGGTGCTATTCAACATGTCGTTACTGAGGCCCCACACACCAGCAAAAACATAATATCAAGGTTATGTTCACGTTATCGCAGTACTGATGATGTGGCTGAACGGCACACGGGTAGATATCGTGTTACTACGCAGAGGCACGATCGATTTCTCCAAATGACTGCTGAACAAAATAGTAAAGCACCAATATTTAGTTAGTCATACTTTTTATAACTTTTTACTTTATCATAATGTTAACTTACATTTTGATGAAGACAGTCATTATTTAAAATATTCTAATTGAGGTAGCTAAATCGAGGATATAATACAAATTAAATCTAGACACATTTAAATACAATTAAATAACATTTATTAAAAGTATTTCCATTAAAAGTTTTCTAATGGTGATTTTAAATAGTGAAACAAAGGAACAAAAGTCTGTATGGCCATGTAAAATTTTTAAATATTATTATAGAGTTAAATTATTCAGGCATTAACAATGGATACCAATCGCACAAATAAAATTAAAAGATGATACAATGTTGTATTCAACAATGCATTTGATTGGCTATTTAAAATCTTCATAAGAATTGTTGCTTTTTTTATCGTCATTCTAAGTCGTATTTTGTGTCTCTAATTTACCAGGATGAAAAAGAGGATTCATAAAGTAAAAATAGCTTTAATCACGTGGTGAGGACATGCGACATCAAAAATTAAAATTTTAGTCTATACTGATTTTCAATAAAGGAAATTTAAATTTTGAATATCACCCGATCGCGCGGTATAAAAAACAGCGTCCACACTGCGCGCCAAGTGACTGAGGCCTCTTTGAGCGGTGTCCTGCTACGTGCGATCGTTGGATCGTCCGGTGAGTACCCCGCTAATAACACGCTATGTTGGAGTCTGGCAAAGAAGGCAAAGTAACTAGCCCATATTTACAGTTGGGAACAAACATTCATTAAAATAAAATAGTTTTTAAGGATTTTATCGCGTATAAGTTATTTTATATTTCCGACGTTTCGAACTCTTTACCCCACCCATGGTCACGGGGAGGGGACTGAGGTCTTTGACGTCCCAATGTCATAGTTAACAATGGCTACCTCCAGATTCTTGTTCCAAGCTACGCAGTACGCTACTTTATTAAATCCGCATAACACTATGCTTTCTTATTTTGATAATTAAGAAATCACAGTGGTTTGATTTTGAATTTAATTGTGAACTTTATCTAATAAAAGAAATTACTGGGTGTTATTACTCCGGTTGGTAGCTAATGGTATGTAGTGGCGGTTTGACAGAATTAATCACCCCTTAAAGTCTTGTAGTTGTTGCAGTATACTTGGATTGGGATTTAATTTTATTAATTATAGAATCCCAAGCAGATGGTAGCATCCAGCGATCTTTTCTATTGAAATAAGGATATTTTTTGATTGCAATGGCCTCGTGAATCATCCTTAGAAGGGATCGGTGTTTTTTTAGGCAGAATTTGTGGTCTATTCAACCTGATGTAGTGGAGGGAGCGCTCCTGTACATGTTCACAGACTACAGACTTCCCGGTGTATCGATTCTTCACATCAGCTATATTTTCTTTTTCGCGGATTTTTATTGATCTTTTAGGTTGTCCTACATTCCTGCATCTTGTAAAGGAACATTACACTTGACTGATGGTAAAAACTCACTTATCTTCTTCAGTGGCTTGAAATATTATTAAATAGATACTCGGACGTATGGCAGTGCAGTAGGCACACGCTCTACTGTGGTCAGCTTCACTCGTTCACTGTAACGTAGGCGCGGGACTCGGAGCTTGTTGTCGTGCTAAACTTTCTTGACGTGTTGGAACTCGGCGGCCAGGTGTTTACTGTCATAGATCCCTTGTGCTCTCTGAAACATCTGTGACATCGTGACATCTGTGGGATCTTGAAGCGTACTTCCATTAAAACATAAAGCCGCCGAAGAAGATTCCGATTTTCTCACGTGGTAGAGCCATGCTGCAGCTATGTTAATAGTATAGTTGTAACAAGAATGGGTCGGCTCGACCGGGGAAGAACCATGCTCTCACAGAATACCAGCGTAAAATAGCTGCTTAATTCTGCTGTGTTTCGTATGATGAGTGTAGAGAACCGGATACCACTTTTACTGGATACGAGGCATTACATTTTAGAGGAGTCCTCACGGGTGACAACGCGTCTGCATTTTGATTCGTAATCGAGAATAGATGTAGATGTCTATGGGCCGCAGCAACCACTTACCACCAGGTGGACCTATGCTCCTTTGTCACCCTAATCCAATAAAAAAAAAGATTAGCCCGTTTCAGATCTCACTTGCACCATGTGTAAATTATTCAGAATAGCAACGGTAAGTTTTATAATGCGGTCGTCAATCTGCTTGCCGGTGACAAATTCTACTTAGAACGAGCGAGGGCTATCTTTAGCAATGAACTTGTACAGACGTATGATGATAACGATTATGATGGCGTTGATAAAGATAGCACTCAAGTTGTTTTGTAACTGTGAAATTCAAGGCAAGCTCTTAGTCTCAGGCGCTGGGCACTACTAGTGCTCTTCTTCTACGTAATAGTATTGTATTTTCTGTTTCTTCTGGCATGGAAATTGTATAGTTGATAGACACGGTTGTTGGAGCACATCAACTTCATTTCGGATACAATACAATTAATAAATCTAGTTACTTTATTTAATAAGATAAGTTCATCCGATTGTGTAGTTAATTACCATTTATTGGTGCAAGTTTGTTACAAGGTTGTTGGAAAAAATCGTTTACCTAAATATCAATAATACAAACATACATACAGAATTACTGAACCTGCAGAGACTACGGACTTCCATTTGACATGATCCTGCCACAACTCTCTTACTTCCTTCACAACCATATACCCACGCATACATGCTCGTGGTCAAATAAACGCAAGAATATTTTTCAAATATCGCAAAGAAAATCTTAGCTACAGTTGGAAAGTTTCATTCATCTTTTGAGCTGAGTTATATTTCAATTGAAATAATATTTAGGTAAACAAGGTATAATAAATACAAGGAAATGAAAAAGTTGTTCTCCTTGTGTCTTGGAAAATAGTTTGAATTGTTTTGTACTAATAAAACAGATGATATTTAGGATTTGCATTTAATAAAATTTTAAAACGGTAAGCACTTTCCAAAATATTTAACTTTAATCGTGTTGTTACCGGACTCACACTTAATGTAGCAAGGATTGTAATAGGATTTATTGTTTGATGCGCATACAGGGTCATAGATTGTAGAACACTTGCATCCACTATTCATGGGATTGTAAGTAGATGGATAAAATGACCTGAAAATAAATCAATCTTCATAAAGACAAAAATAAAGTTACATTATATTTAATTATTGAACATTTTACATAGAAAATGCTTCCTTCTTATTATTATAAGCCAGTGCTAAACTACTATCCCGCCGGATGGTAAGTGGTAATGCAGCCGAAGATAGTAAAGTGCTCTGACTTAGCTTAAGAAAAGCCTCACTCTTGCCTTGAAGACACCCACATTATAATCAGATGGAAAGACAGATGCTGGCAGGTTTGAATTGATTATATGTGAAAAAATAAGGGGTGGAAATTAGTCGAGCGTCTGTCGGTCCAATGATAGAATGGAGAGGGAGAAATTACGTCCTGCAATTCCTGCGTACACTTTCCGAAATGTATCCTCTAAAAAACTGAAAGGCTGGCTATTTCGCGCCTGTGTTCAAGGCTGATATGATTAGTTCTAACCATGATGTTACCAATAAGCCTCTTATCATTTATTTCTACTGAGTTCAATGCCGCTAGGTAGCATTCAACAGAACCAGCCCATACATGGCTGCAATACTCCATGTATGACCGAATTTAAGCTTTATATAGTGTAAGCTACAGTCTCTGCTTGAAAAATTGCTGCAAGAAGACCTAACTTCCTTGCAGTTGCTTTGGACCTGGACTTAATATACTGCCCGAAGTTCAGGTTCAATGAAACCTCAATCCCCAGCAAGTGAAGGTGGTCGATGAATTTCAAGGACACATTTCGGAAAGTAGGAGCCAAGGGAACCTTCTTACAGCTTAGATATAATAGTAAAGTAACTAGATAAATAAACAGATTCTAACTTTGTTTATAACAGTTTATTAGTACTTACTTCTTTCCCAAAATACTTTCACGTATACCAACATTGCTGAATAAATTTGTTGTCGGAGAAAAAACGTACGCAAAACACAATGTGTAACTCACTGCGATTCCTGGAGATTTGGTAACAAAGTTTATCAAGACAGTATTTTGTACAAAATTAATTATGATAATAATTATTATGTGTAATTTTGGTGAAAAATATCCACTACCTCCTGGAAACTGTAACAGGAGATGGGCAGCAGCATCTTCCTAATAGAAACTCAAAATAATAAAATAATGCAGTTGACCACCCGCCATCCAAGCGTGGGAAATCTATGGCAAAATCCCCCCTATGAGGCAACTTATGGCGAAGGCCTATGTTCAACAGTGGACTCTTACCTATTCCATTTAATATTCCACGTTGCATTTATCTGTCAAAATATTAAATTACAATTTTATTTTACATTCTATTTTGTAGTTAATAAGTTTTCAGGTATAGTAGTATTTTTTTTGTTTATTGTTATATAATGATTTATATCTGTATTGAGGTAAAATGAACATGGGGGAACATATTATAATGTTCTATTAAATGTGTTATAACAAATGCTAGATACAGGTGGCTCGGGATCGTGCTTAAATACATTCCTCGAGGGAGGCCTATGTTCAGTAGAAGACTTTCAACAGGTTGTAATGTTCATGATGATGATGGTGATGCAACTGAATGTCCCATTATATTAAATTAAGTAATTTAATTTCGCGGTACGTAAGGTTTTTTTTTTAGATTATGGGTGATAAACGAGCTCACAGTCCACTTGATGGTAAGTGGATGCTATAGCCCATAGACATCTACATCTATCCTAGATTAAGAATCAATATGCAGGTGCTTTGAAACTCTTGAGAACTAGCCGATTTTGGTTTGAGATAGAAGATGGGGCATGCCTTAGTACCAGTAAAAAAGTGTCGTTGGTTCTCTAAATCTCTAAATCATACTGCTTGAAACTGCTATTTTCGCTGGTATTCTGTGAGTGAAGTCCTTTCCCTGTCGAGCTGACCCATTCGTGCTGACACCATAATATAGCTACTGCGTGGCTCTATCACGTATAAATTCTTAAAAATAAGGCTCACTGTCATTGAGTGATATTTTAATTTAGCCAGAGAATGCCATTAATTACAATTTAAAATCAAAACTACTCACCAGCCAATATTGTTAATTTAAACATTCTTATTATTCTAGTGGAAAGTATTATTTAAAATAACATTCCCGTTTAACTGAAATAGCTTAAATTTTAATCGGAGCGATTTACTTTGGTTCACTTTATAACAACAAACCTATTAACGGGTAGCTTTTAATCGATGAAAGCGAAAATTAATTAGCATTGTTTCGGTAATTAAAAATGGGCAATATCAAACCGGTTTAACGATCCTGTAATTTTGCAGCTGGCTTTGTATTTGAGCTCCGATTTTCTAGTTGTTTGAACGTCTTACTGCAGAGCGTTCGCCTCTTCCTATCATTTATTCATTACAGCTTATCTAAGTCCACAGTTGGATATTCACTGTAAACTGACTCATAGGAGAAACATTTGTCATAGTTAGCAATAAGAGTATGTCACATGTTCTTATTATAACTATTTAACAACTCTTCTACTACATGGATATTTTTAGGACAGGAAAGAATCCGCTGGGAGAGTACCCATGCATATTGGCAGACGTATAAAACTCTCTCTACGAAACTTATATTTTTTTAATGTTTCCTGTCACCGCTAAGCACGTAGATAATTAGCACTTTTGAATTCGCATAACATTGAGAGTAGGCAGTTACTATGAAAAGTTAAATCTTACCTTCTGACAACGGCGCTTGATATATTTATATTTTATTGTATATTATATTTTTAGCCTTTCTAAGAGGCACTAATAGCCTTATTATGTTTACTTTTACTACTAAGAAAGCGGTAAATCGTTAATATATTGTTAGGAACGAGATATGAGGATATGCGGTTATAGAACTGTAATCTTCCATCCGTTCTAGTTGTTTAAAGTATCGTGCAGGCGACAATGAGGGATCAGTTGGTAATTCTACGAGTCTCACTGTCGTTACTATGCCCATTTGGGTATTCTACTAGTGTAAACAAGGAAGATCGTGTTGCTGAGAGGCTGTCCTGTGTTACATTGAGACGCCTAGTGTTGCTGTTGGTTTGCCTACTTGGGTGTTATCGTGTAGTTGGGTTCTTCACGTTACACCGGTATGTGATTGTGACGGGAACATGTTACGGTTGGTCGAACTGTATTGATCCACTGAATGTATGGTGCAGTGCGCTGTTTTTTTTTTTGGTGATAATAATCGGTTGCGTAAGTAGGAGAGCAAGTTGAGCATCCACTCTCACACCTTTGTTATTTTTGACAATTGGCCTCTAGTATGGCTATGATAGTAAGAAGGGTTTGTTACTCTGTAGTGTTCTTTTATTTGAATAATTTTGAGATTAATTTCTAACATCGGAAAGTGGTATTAAAGCTTTTTCCTGTAGCTCTACATTTTAGTTTCTAACAATATTATTACTAGCTAGGCCGACAGATGTGGCAGTCTTTACGGTTTTGGAACTAAACCAAGTGTATAATTTATTAGCTACTTGACTACAGCGCTACATTGCCACGCGTAGACAGAACAAATATATTGTTGTGAATATGACCTTCACAGAAACTGCTGAAAAAATCCCCCCCCCCTCAATAGATTGCCTCATATTTGCTATCGTTTTCACGCTTTAGCGTAAGAGCAGCAGTAGGCAGGTTCCAACTTTTTATAAATAATTATAGACCAAAAGATCTCAATGAAAAATTTAGTAAGAAATTACACTGTTTTTATGGAAGCTCTTTACCAACGTGTAAACGTGAGCTGTATCAGCAATTTTTACATGCGCATTATATTTCCAATGTTATTTTTCTCTAATTTTTATTAAATATTTCAAGATGTCAAAGCGGCAGACTTATTGCCATCTCGTTTTTTTTTGGTCATTTTTTTACACCTTTAACACCTGAGCGTCTCTATATCGACCGCCGGTCAAACTAAAGAGTCCCTGTTTCACGTGCCTCAGGTATAGGGGATTAACTGAAAAAAAAGTGAAGCTTATTGAAATACCGTAAGTCTGCCGCTCACTAGCTCTTAAGCGGCAGATAACAGCTAAAATTTTATATTATTTATACTGTTATCAGGAAGTTGTTGCTGTCCAATATTTGTTTCAGTTTCCCTCTGGTGCCTCTTACTAGACTTTCAAAACGTTTTTTTTAAAGAAAACGATACCTCTCACTTTTATTTTCTCCTGTATGGTGTAGGCAGTTCACATACACATATTTAACAAGGACAAACATCTAGACGCGGAACAATTACTTTTAGGTCATACAAATCACTTGTTCCGTTTAGGATTCGAACCCACGGCCCTTAGCGCCACAACTCATTTCTAAGTCTTGCGCCACGGAGCTCTATTTTGAGGAAATATAATATTTTACGCTACCACTATTAATTAGTCTCACTATTCTCATAAGTATTATTACATTAATTAGTCTGAAATACAAACCAAAGCAAAGGCTTTTGGTCTTATCAAAGCGACTGCAAGCGCATAAACTGCAACTGGCGCTGAAAAGTTTTTTCCGCTTGCAGTTTATCTGTGTAGTTAAAATTAGTTTGTGAGCTGCAACGCCGTGTATCTGTGCAAAATTATTAAAGTCATTTATATTGATTAATATTTGTATACCTACAAAGTATACAGGAAATATTATTATTATAAACTAACTATCAGATGAACTGTTAAACTGAATAATTCCGTTATCAGAGGCCCAATGCTGGTGGTATTGGCATCTGAAGAGGTTACCATCATGGAATTAAGTCCTCAAGAAAGACGAGAAACGCACCAGTACTGGGGTGTGTCTGATTCCACACTTATACAACTATACCATAAATAAGTAAATAATACACTCGCATATATCCACGTATACGTACACGCACAAATACAGATCAACACACTTGTGATAAAATATACATTATGGATTCAACTTTATCGTGTAGTGGCGGTGTAAGAATATTCACTACCTGATATCTTCCTGTGGGCGTCGTAAGAAACGACAGAGGGAAACAAACTAGGAGATAGGTAACAGCGTCGTTCTAACAACAATAAGAAAAAAACTGTGTTTGCCAACCCGCCCGCCAAGCGTGGCAGTCTGAGTTCAGACATGCGTATAGGATTGACTACTAACTGTGTATCTGGACGAATTAGTGTAGGAACATTAAAAGAATAATGATTAAGTAATGGAAAGTAGGAATCAACGGTATGATGCAAGAATGAAGAGAGAGGCATTCTGTCAGTGGAAGAGTTGAGATGGGTGTGGATTATTAAGTAACGTTTTAAAATAAAAGAAGTTTTAAAGGAAGTTCCAAAAGTTTTATCAGCTTTGCGTGTATCTATCTATCTATGCAACGGAATCTTTTAATATAATTTCCACCAACTTGTAGACAGCAGATTCACTTGAATTTTGATGATTGATAGATCGATGACAATACACTAATTTAATAACTTTTTTTGATCAGGATCCTTAATATAATTGAATATGGTAATTCTCTCTAGAATATAGCCAAGATTCCTTCTGACATTGCTCTCCATCTGATGGTACAGTTTCATCACAATAGATTCAGTCAGACAGACAATCAGATAGACAACAATGTTAACAATGGTTTTTTATGTTTTAGCAATAACCTCCTGAGCTTGATAGAAGTCACTTATTTCAATATTATAGACAGATACATAAATTTTATTTATCTGCCTATATACATATATATATATATATATATAATTAATATATATATATATATATGTAAACAAAAATAACGGGTCTTAGGGTCGGCTCGGCCCAGCAGCAACCATGCTTGGATTATTCTCCTAATACGTAATATTATATAATAATATAATATAATAGCGTATAGTAGTATAGTATACAGGAATACCTCCTGTATACTTACTATTACGCTCCAACTACTGCATTATTTTGGTATGCTTTGAAAAAGAAATAAATATTATATATATTTTCGTTCGACCTGCCTGGATGAATTGATTGGATTATCATGGCGGCGGGCTTTTCAGTGAAGGCCTCTCAAAATGTATACCAAACGCGCCGCT